ATGAAAAGGGGATGACCTTGTGACACAAGAAAAGCTATATTTTATGTTCTCTGTTCTGGTTGTTTTCTGACAAGAACGACTGCATGGAAAGTAATGCCCATCCTTTAAAATTTGTGATGGCATCTGTGCAGCTCATACAGAAATATACAGTGAATGTCTGCTAAGTTTCTAATGAGTATGTCGAAAAAATATTTTCAGAAGTTTATAATCTAATCAAATCTGGGCATATTATCACAAGAACAGTGGAAGATACAGAAACCAACCTGTTGGCAATCTTCATAAACTGGGCTCCATAAACTGGAGACTGTGGAACCTTAGAGTAATGTAACTGTGTGAACTGCCTTTAATATAGGTGAATCTGTGTATTTTTCCTGAGTATTACCCTTTAAAAGAGATAGAATACAGTAAAATAAAATAATCAGATTTAGAAAGACATATGAATTGGAGAATTTTATCTGAACAATTATGAAAACTGAATCTACAATGCAATAGCAGAGGTGAATCAATTATCAGTTTTTGCTGTCAGATGTGGCTATGAGTAATTCCATAGACTCCTCAAAAGTTGGGGAAAAACTGTTCTAGTATCACAACTACTGTTTATTTCTCAACTGCTGTGAGAAACCCTTTTTTCAGACCTCTAATTTTTGAGTTATGAAAACTGCAGTATAAATCTGGGAGGAATTGATCTCCATAATCTCTTAGATTAATTTCACATTAAGACAATTTAAAAAATAATTGGATTTACTCTTTTATAAAACTCTGGTGGTAGAGTTCAGAATTAGACACATACACTCACTTTCTACCTAGAAAGCCCTTACAATTAGTAACATTTTAAATTACAGGTGCTAAAAATGAAAAAAAAAAAGGTTAGAATCTCCAAAAAACTTATTCTTGATACTTTAGAACTTGTACTTATGTATACCAATTCTGAGGTTGGTAAACACTTAGGCAGAAGCCAATTCTGAAGAAAAGGTTTCTTCAAATTGAGTTTCAATTTTTCAAATTGAAAGTTTCTCTCTGTTAACTGTATTATTTATGTAATTTATGAATAATTAATCCATTTAAGGTTTAACTACTGTAAGATGAAGCAATGAAACACTCAACTTTTGTTTTTACAGTATAAAACATCAAAGAACTCTACACAGTTAAGGACTAATTTCAGCTCAGAGAAGCTTCTGTCCTTCCTGAGCTGGACTATCAGATTCCACTTTTAAAGTTTCATTATACTGAAATTCTGATCGTCAAAGAGTGAAATGGGAAAATGGTCAGCACCTCTGAGTTTTAAGAGCTCTGAAGGATAAGAAAACCTGCAGAAGGCAATCAGATATCTAGGGAACTGCGAAGCTTGCAGTTCCCCTGGGCACTGGGAACCAAAAGCAGCTGTTAAGTCTGACAAATTCTTAAATGTTTTTTTTTTTTAAAGCTCACAGAAGTAAACCAGCTTAGTGCTTAGCCATATTAGCGCTTCAATGCTTGCTTAATCATTTACCATGCATAACACTTGTGAACACTGCAGTGCTAAATTGGCTAAGCTCTAAAACCAGTTTACATAATCAAGCATTAAACTTCAAATAGATAAGCAAGGTCATTGCTGTCCCTAGCGCCCAGAAGAGCTCCCAAGTACTGTAAGATTTCTGGCCTAGTTAGCATGTTTTCGAAGTTCTTACTAGGACTCTCTTGATAATTATAAAAGTCTATTTCTCTATTGAAATGCAGAGGAACTTCACAAGAGAAAAGCAGCAGATGTTCTCTTTTCCTCAAAAATCTTCAAGATTCGTAAGAAAGAAAGAAAGAAAAAAAAAAACCAGTCGCAAAAAAGTGGTAACACTAAGATCTAAATACATGTAAACTTCCATTGTATGGAATAAATGCTCCTTTGTTTAACATATAGCATGTCAATAATTAGCTTAAGATTGTTCTGTTTGTCCTCAAGAAGTATCTAGTGATACTAGATACTAGCACAGTATATCTCACGCAATAATCTCTCTTTATGTTATAAGATCCACCCATTTTGACAAGATACTTATTTGCTGGGTCTTGTGAAATCTCTGTGGCATTTTCTGATATATTTTGTAACAGATAATTTAAGATCCAAGAAACATATTCTCAGAGAAAACTCACAGCAAGCTAGCCTTATCCTCAAAGGTCAGAGAAACAGGTGAAAAAACACTTAGCTTACAATAACTAGCACTTCAGATTGCATTACTCATATGATTCCCATTTAGACTTTTTTCTCTGCTCCATGAGTATGTCTTTATGGTCATCATATCTGTACCTTTATCCTTCTCCATTTGAAAACACAAAGGATAGAATAAAATCAACCATCCCTTATAGTTAACTTTGACAACACAAAGTGTCTCTAAATGACAAAAGAAAATGGACCATGAAATTAATGTGAACAACACCTCTTCAAGAAACACAGTTATCACAAGACATAAAATTGATCTTTCCAATTTAAGTGCTTATCAATGTGGATTACAGCCTCTCATATCAGAAAGCTAGAATGGACCACAGTTTCACCTCCTCTAAACCCAACCACTGAACTTCTCAGAGTTTCCCTTATTAAGACAATTAATTTGCAATGGTTAAATTTTATCTTCCAGAAATATTTCTAGTCTTGTGCTAAAACATGAAGACATGCAAAATTTATATGGCAGTTTGTTCCAGAAGCGGGGAGGCAGGGGAAAGATTCTGATTAAAGACAAATTGATCATTATGTAGGAACTTTGCAAAATTCTCAAAGCATCCTTTGGAGCACCTACAGGCATGCTTCATCCGTTTCAGACACCAGCAATACTATCACTTCTTTGTTAAATGCACAGAAACTTTTCTACAACTTTATTTTGGCTTGATAATCACATTTTGACTGAAGTTCCTGACAACATAAAGTGATGAACAGCATTAGCTAAGGAGAAAATCTTCCTCCCACGTAAATTAAATACCTCGGGATCTTTCTCTCAAAACATGTTTCTTATTGTCTGAATATTTATACACCATCTGTACTTAAAACAGACATGCCCTCAAAAGTAGTATGATACCAGGTTTATACAACATCACTGTCACTTTTGGAGCTTGCCTCAGACATTTAACTGGTACCAAATTTTTATAAATTTTCACTCACAAATAGAAATGGCAAAACTATCAGGCACGAAAGCCTACAGAATGTTCAGTAACACTGGACTTCTAACACTTTCACTGTAACACCTAGAGTCAGACATGCTCCTTAAACAGTCACGAACACATTCAGCTGTCTAAAACTAGCAGAGGTGGTGCTCTGTGGAATGAGAAAGAGAATTTGTTGTATGAAACACTGCTCTTCACAGCTGTGGCTTTGTGACAAATTTCCTTCTTCTCTAGATTCACGTATCATCAGGGAAGACATTAACTCCATGAATATAAAAGCATTTGAAGCTGATTTTACCCACTCGGGCAAGAGAAATCCACAGGCTGAAGACCAAGCCAATGGACACCAAAGACACTATGACTGGAATTTTGCAGATAACTTCTGAAATTTAGTGACAGGAGGACATTTTCTGAGAAAGAAAAACTCTGAAACTTTCAGGTTGAAAGAGAAAATTGAGAAAGGTTTGACCATTGCAGTCAGGTTAGAGCTAAGAGAGACATATTGGCTATTATTTATTTCTTTCCTTTGAAAGATCCAGAAAGAGTACGAGGGTAATTGCATGAGAACAAAATAGCAGGATAGCAGCACAGGGAATAACATCAAGAGGAGTACGGAACTTTGCTTCATCTGTCAGAAGAATAGACTGCCAGTAGGAATCCAGCTGGCATGCAGGTGTATGTCTGGGCAAGTACTGCTTAGGTGAGCAGGTTACGACTGTACTGTGGTCGTTACAAAAAATCATGGAAGTTAATGCTGAGATTAATGGAAATGTTTACTGCTGTCATAGCTATTGCTGTAGTCTCTCCGATCTACCATCTCAAATAACTGTCATTGAATTGTTCGTTATCTATTTATAACTTACTATTCAGGAATACATGGGCTAGAAAATTTTTTTTCTTTATTTTCTGTTTTGTTCTATTTCACGGCAAAGCTTCAATCTGAAAATAAAGTAGTTGTTTCATGAACTCTGGTTTGGAGAAAACCTGGAGGTACCCAGTATGAGATAAAAGCCTAAAAAAGCCCAAATGCATGAAGTTTTACCAGGACAGCAGCAGTTCTGAGGTTTGGGTAAAGCTTGTGGAAGGGAGCTCAAACAAGTTTCATCTAGAAAAAAAAACCTCAACCCAAAAATCGCAGCATACTGACACTGAGTATTTCATGTATTTGAATTAAAGTGAAAGATCTTTAATTATACCATTTTAAATATGAGAACTATTCATCATAGTGTAAAACTTTTTTTTTAAACAGTTTATAGATAAAAGATACTAGGTTTTTAATTATCTGTGAGGTGAGAAGCAGAACACAGGGATAAAGATTACTTCACTACACAAGTATTTCAAAAGTTACTGTTTTACCTGTCTACCAGGAAAGCCCCAAATTACATTTGGAATACTGGTCTCCTCATTGACTCATGATGAGCAGACTAATGGGCATTTCCAGGCTTTCTCACGCTGGAGAAAAGGCTGCTTTTAGCCACATTCTGACACACGGCACACAGGACATATCCCTTCCACTTTTAACAGCCAAGTTTCACTGGCCTTGTAACTTGGTCGAGAATATGTGTTGCGAATACGCACTAGAGTACCGAATTGACAGGGCAGCCTCTGATTGCTGAGTCTGTTCCTAGAGTTTCTGTTTTCATTTGACATTTTTTCCATGGACATGTTTAAAAATTATTCACATTCATAACAGGGAAGGAATATGAAAAGTAACTTTTAAAATACTGATGAAAAGGAAACAAAGTATCAATAAAGGTTGCAAAAATGTCTAGACGTATAGTTTTTACACAATTACACATAACACACAAAGCAGCTTCAATTTAAAAATTACCCAAAAGAAAGAAACGAATTAAAAAAAAAAAAAGCTGTTGACCAACCTTTATGTCTATGAGATCCATCCATGTCAGAAAACTCAATATGATTTTCATCAGCCCAATACAGCCTGTGGTTGACATAATCTATTGTAAGAGCCATAGGTCTAGATATCTGTGTTTCTATGACAACTGTTTGACTGGAGCCATCCATACCAACACGGCCAATGTGAGGATACTCACAGCAATCGATCCAGTATAAGTATCTATAAAACAAAACACAACAGATGTTTTGTTTAGAGATACAAAAATAATATCAATAAATAATTCATTTATTTAGTTAAGAATAAATCAGTAATTATTCTATAATGTTTCCACTTTCCAGATAGATTTTTGGATTTTTCTACACCTGTCTGTAAATGAGTGTCCTAAATGTAAATGGTTTGAATAGGAGAGTTCTCAGATTAGATGTGATTTCATCAAATTAATTATGGACCAGTTAAAAGTGCATTTAACTTGCTTAGTCTTGATACCTTAGAATATGAAGTACTGCCCAGATTGGACTTCGCGCATCTTATGCCCTGCAAAAATGGCATCACTACTGAACTTATGACAACTATTGTATTACAGTTACTTTTATTTTTCCCCACACGTATTACAAAACCTTGTTTTGTTGTTAATAGTAATACGAATAGAATAGAATACCAGCACAGATTTATATTAATAAATAGTCATGCAATAATTAATAAAATTAGCAGTTAAAGGCACCAGTTAAAAAACTACTTTAACTAGACAGTTCTCTCTTCTTATTATTGTTGTTGCAATAAATTTTTCAAGCATATTGATCATTTCAGATTTCTGAAAACTGAAGTTAGAAACTATGTCACCTAAAATAAACTCCTTGTATCCTAATAATTAATCAGTCCAGTTATTAGACTTTAAATCAAAACTTTAATTTTAGAGTAAAAAAGACAAAAGTTATCTTCAAATTATGTAGGATTAAACATTTTCACTCTTCAATTAACATGCAAAAACTATCAGAAAAAAGTCTTCAAATACGTGGTAGCTGAATGGCCTAAATTATTTTGGAAATTAGTAAACACAGAAAAGAGTGCTAACAAGACAGTTCAGTGAATAAATGAAACAAAATGTAAGAAGTGTCTTCCATGTAATATGAACTTTTTGTTATTTAGTAACACACCTCCTGAAGACAGGGATATTTTTTGAAATATCTGCTTTCCTACCGAAAGAAAACATTTACAGAGTAGTAAATATAACAAAACATGGTTTAGTACCTGCATTCATCTTTTACTACACCGATTTTATATGTAATGATGATATAGTAAGCATTGGTAATATGTTTTAGACTACTGATATCCAGCATAGCCCAAAGTTAGATCACAAAAACCTAAATAGTATTTCCTATCTTCTGTTTTTTGTAAAAATTATTTACATATAAAATTAGGATTAAATATGAATTACTGCAAAATGGCTGTTTCATACCCAGCTTGAGGATCTAAGGACAGATCTCTAGGAAACTTCACTCTTTTGCTCACAAGGACGGTAGGGTATAAGCCATTGAGTTTAGACACCTCAATAATTCTCTTTTCAGTATCAGACCAATAGAGATTCTTCCCAATCCAATCAACAGCCAATGCATTGGGAACAGCTGTATTGTGGACTACCTAGAAAAGCAAAAATTACATAAATTACTTATCTAAATAGCGAGAAAAGGAACAAGAATTCAAGAGTTACTAATACCAGAATATTGAGAGGTTGGATATATGATACAGTGACATACAACATGTGAAACATATGTATTATTCCCTGTTAAACACTGACACTTCTGAAGTAATGACTTCTTAAGTAACTAAGACAATGTGACATTTTCCTTATAGTAAGGGAGAATGGAGAATACCATGATGTAGCAAATATCAAATTCCTGATTTCCCTGCATTATCCACTAACTTTTAAGAAATCTGTTCTTTCATTTTTCATCTGAAGTTTCTAATTTTCCTTTTGTCTTGATTTAAAAGAAAAAAAAAAAAACACTTTCTTTTCCTTTATTATTCTGTTTATTTTTCACAGAATCAAATGGAGATGGGGCTTCTCTCCCCACAGCGTGCCCTCAAACACATCTGCTTATTAGTTCACCATTTCTCTCACCAGTCTACATCAGCATATATTTCATTTTAGTATCACAGTAGTGCCATATGTCATTATGACAGAGAGACCATCAGAGTGTTCAACTCAGGGAAACAGAAAAAGATTACCTAGTTGGAAAGTAAATCCTGTGCTCTTATTTCCAAGAATAAGGAACTTTCTAAGAATTAGTTAAATTTCAAAAGGACTACATTATTAAGGCATAAACTAAGAGACAGAAGGAATTTAAGGACCTACTGGAAAGCCTACACTCTACTGGCAGGGATGTGATATTCTAAAGGTTTTTGATGACTTGAACAATTCTGAGACTTGAATAAACACCTCTAGATATACATTATTAAAAAACTCAAAATGATTGTATGACTCAATCTTGCTTGGCTGGGAGTATTTCATATTAATTGTTGAGTGACATTTTAATATTCCCAATCATTAGAGTCCAGCTTCTTCTAGGCGTAAAAATTCTATTCCTGATAAGGTCCTATTCTGACCTACTCTATTCCTGATTGGGTCTTGATTAGGTCTGTGCAACAAGAACTTAAGAAAAAAAAATCAGAGTGTGCAATACTTGAAAATATTTGAGATTTTTTAAGTACTAATAATGGGTTTACTACTGTAGTGTACATTCTAGTTTATTCTCATCTTCACCACTAAAAGCATGTGCAATAGAGTATAAAATTTACACGTAAACCTGGTCATGTGTAACTGAATGTGTATTTTTTAATTTTATTTACCATTTGAAGATATTGAAAAGCCTTCAAGATAAGAAGGGATACTGTGAGATACTATAAACCAATTTTATAATTATGAATATGTAAAAGCACCCTTTCAGGTTATCATGTTATTTATCACCTTATAAAATCTTTTTAAAATTAAATCCAGGCATGCACCAGTTTTTAATAGCAATACCAGCTTCATTGTTTTATAAATGTGTAATTGCAGCAACCACTCTGCAAACTTAGATAGTGGTTTAGCTACACTATCTGGAAGCATCAACCAAAATGGTCTCTCTTTTCTGATGTCTTTTCCTTTGGAGAGTCACTTCAAGCTTCTTCCAGTCACTGAGATCACTAGTGTGACATTTAATATACACAATCCAGGTTACTACAGCATTTTCCAGTAACAGATTTCATTTGATTCTACAATACTATACTAAAACACTGTGTTAATGTTTGAACACATTTATGTGAAAAAGTTGTTGCTTCAATTGTATAAATATCTCCTCCATGATCAGATGCAGAAGAAAAATGAGATGCCATCAGGTTTCCCAGAGCAGGAAAGCTAGAGTTGGCATGCTGAAAAGACGTCATGATCAGATGCAGAAGAAAAATGAGATGTCATCAGGTTTCCCAGAGCAGGAAAGTTAGAGCTGGCATGCTGAAAAGACGCTATCTTCTAAAAGGGAAATCCTAGGTAATAGATCAAATAGTATCATTTACACTAATAGTATATTTATTTACAGTAAAACAATAAAACAAGAACTTTGAAGGAAATAAGAAATTCATACTTCAAGGAAAAAGGCTGTCAACCATAAAACTTCTCTTTCATGGCAAAAAAAATATTAAAATATTTAAACAGGTTTGCTAGGAAATTATTTGTAACATCAATTATTAAATATGTGCTATGGTAACCTATTAAAATCTAAGTTAGACATAAAGTTATCATTTGGCCCTGGATAAAATATTACTGACAGAATACAAGACAGCTAAAATATATAATTCTTGGTAAATTTTTGCACATATTTTTAGCTTTCAGAGGCCAAATCTGGGCCCAGTTTTTCAGTAAAAAACCCCAAATATTCTTAAGAAAATTAAATGCATTTATTTTCACAATTTTTTCTTTGAATTTGGCATGCTATTTGAGTAAATTCTACAACATGACACTCGTTCTGTAAATTGCAAAATATTAATGAAGGAAAAAAGAAATACCATCCATGGCTCCAGTCTAATTTTCTTCTAATGTTTGTTCAAATTTCTGAAACCTTTCCTTAGAAGATGAAATTATTACATAATTAGACATACATAAATATGACTCAAGGATTTAATGGATTTTGAACCCCACAGTTGCCTGTCTCCTATTTTTTGCAGAAAAGAAAATCTTTGCAGGGACTCTCTAGGACGTTGAGTGCATGCTGGATTCTAGTTTTACCCCAATGGAATCAGAGTGTTATAACTTATGCTTATCCATATTTTTTTTAAGTTATAAGAACAATTATTTCCATGTGAAGGATGTAAATGACGTTCACTGATGCCAGCCTGTTTAAAACCTTAACCCTCAAAAAGACCAAAGTCGGACGTTCACTGATGCCAGCCTGTTTAAAACTTTAACTCTCAAAAAGACCAAAGTCAGTGTGCTCTGAGGATGTGTCAGTCCATGCATTAAGCTGTAAATGAAAAATAGAAATCTTTTCTCTCTGCATAATTTACTGGTGTACAATGAAGGAAAAAAATTCACAGGGTATGTTACTGCTCATTTGTTCCATGTTTAAGAAGGTCAGACATAAAAGAATAAGCAAAGAAGAATTCATAGAATCACAGATTCATTATGGTTGGAAGAGACCTCAAAGATCATCAAGTCCAACCGTACACCCAATGCCACCATGTGCACTAAACCATGTCTCAAAGCGCCACATCTAAATGTTTTTTGAACATCTCCAGGGACGGTGAGTCCACCACATCCCTGGGTAGCCT